CCTCAGTGCATTTGAAGATGTTCAACAGCGCCTGCTTGCAAGCCTGGGTCTCCGTGATCGCGCCCATGCTGGGTAGTCCGGCGGGTCCCACCACAGTAACTGAAGCTGGCGTCGGTTTGGGGGCTATCCGATTGATGATATTGTAGCACTTCCTGGGGTCGTTCTGGCGAGCCGCAGTAGTGGCCTCGCCTGCAAGGCCGGCGACTGCCTGGCGTCGCTCAGCGCGCGTAGCTCGTTTAGCGGTGAGTGGGAGGAGTCGAGCTCTGGTCTGCGCTGTGAGAAGCACACCTGTAAGAACTCCTTGGTCGGCAAGCCATGTGGCCCACCTGATGGCTTCCTGCTTCTGCTTGATCAGTCGGACCGCGTCATGCGCCGCCGCGGCTGCGCAACCCGAGGGCCGCGCGCGCGCCCGCAAGGGCCGACCCGCACCCGCAGGACGGCACACCTTGAGCCAAAATGGCTACGGAAAAAGCCCCCAAAGGCCCCCCAAAACCCTCCAAGAGTCCCCCAGGAAACTCCCAGGAGGTCCCAAGAATGCCCCAAGAGGCGCCCAAAAGGCCTCCTCCTCCTCCTCCTCTTCCTCCTCCTCCTCCTCCTCCTTCTCCTTATCCTCCTCCTCCTCCTCTTCTTTTTTCCTCATCCTCCCCCTCCTCCTCTTCTTGCTCCCACACGCGTTCCCCGAAATCTTTCCAAACCGACTCGGGGAACAACTGGCCCGATAGCTTGGCCAAGCTCTGGCCCGCCTGTCGGCCACAGAGGCGCTTCCAAAGGGGCCGGGGGCGGCGGCGATTCACCGTAGGCGTCTTTGATCCGCCGCCCCCTGCTGGCTTGCCACAGGGGTGCCCGGCGTGCTAGACCCCTTCGGTTTTGGTTTTGGTTCTTTTTCCAGAAAAGAACTCCCCCTGGGGCTTCGGCCTGTCCCGCCAGCCACCCGAAAAGCATCTCAATCCCCAAACAAATCCTCCAAGACGGCTCAAGATGGTCTCCAAGATGACCACGTTGGCCCAAGATGGCCTCCAAGATGGTCCAAGATGGCCTCCAAATCCGCCCAAGATGGTCCAACACGGCCTCCAAGACGGCCCAAAAGAGTCCAAGATACCTCCAATTTCGCCCAAGAAGCCTCCAAGACGGCCCAACACAACCCAATAGGCCTCCAGGAGGACCCGAAGAGGCCAAAATCATTGATTTACCATAGGTTGTTGAAGGATTTTGGCATTTGTTTCTTCTCGGCATTCCGACGGCTCAAGACGGCCCAAGAGGCCCCCAAGATCGCCCCAAGATCGCCCACGAGGCCTCCAAGATGGCCCCATGACCATGACGGCCCAGGAGGCACCCAAGACGGCCACAAGAGGGCCCCAAGAGGCCTCCAAGACGGCCACCATCGCCTCCAAGACGGCTAAGATGGCCCCAAGATGCCGCCAAGACTGCCCAGGATGCATCCAAGACGGCCTAAGATGGCCTCAATATTGCCCAAGACGGCGCAAGAGGCCCCCAAGAGCCTCCAAGACGGCCCAAGAGGCCTCCAAGAGGTCCTCCAGGAGGGCCCGAAGAGACCAACATCATTGATTTCCCATAGGTGTTTGAAGGATTTTGGCATTTGTTTCTTCTCGGCATTCCGACGGCTCAAGACGGCCCAAGAGGCCCCCAAGATCGCCCCAAGATCGCCCACGAGGCCTCCAAGATGGCCCCATGACGGCCCAAGAGGCCCCCAAGACGGCCCCAAGAGGCTCCCAAGAGGCCTTCAAGACGGCCAAGGCGGCCTCCAAGACGGCTGAGATGGCCCCAAGATGCCTCCAAGACGGCCCAAGATGCATGGAAGACTGCCTAAAACGGCCCAAGAAGCCCCAAAGAGGCGCCCAAGACGGCCCAAGAGGCCTCCAAGGGGTCGTCCAGGAGGGCCCGAAGAGACGAAAATCATTGCTTTGCCTTAGGGTTTTGAAGGATTTGGGCATTTGTGTTCTCGACAGCGACGGAGAGACCATACATGACCTCAAAGGCCACGAACGACCCCTCCAAGATGGATAAGATGGAATCCAAGACGGTCCCAAGACGCCTCCAAGACGGCCAACATGGCCGAATATTGCCTCCAAGATGCGTCCAAGATGATCAAGATGGCCCCAAGAAGCCCCAATATAGCCCCAAAAGGGCTTCCAAGACAGTCCCAAGATACCTCCAAGACCGCAAAGATGGCCTAGTGAAACCCTAGAGTGGCCCAAGAGGCTCCCAAGAGGCCTCCTCCTCCCTTCTCCTTCTTCCTCCCTCTCCTCTCCTTCCTCCTCCCCCACCGTGTTCCCCGAACGCTTTCCAAACCGATTCGGGGAACACATGGTCCGATAGCTTGGCAGGCCTCTGACCACAACGTTCGGCCACATAAGCGTTTCCAAAAAGGCAGGGGGCGGCGGTGATTCGCCGTAGGCGTCTTCGATCCGCCGTCCCCTGTTGGCTTGCCACAGGGGCGCCCGGCCTGCTAGACCCTTTCGATTTTGGTTCTTTTCGAAAACCCCCTGGGGCTTCGGCCCGTCCCGCCGGCCACCCGAAAGGCAGCACAAGGCAGCATAAACCACCGCAGCATCCACAAACAAACATTCTAAGATGGTCCAAGATGGTCTCTAAGATGCTCACGTGCGCCCAAGATGGCCTCCAAGATGGCCTCCAAGTCGCCAAAGATGGTCCAAGATGGCTTCCAAGACGGCCCGAGAGAGTCCAAGATGCCTTCAAATTCGTCCAAGAAGCCTCCATGACGGTCCAAGATGGCTGCAAGATGGCCTAAGACTGACCAAGAGGCCCCCAAGAGGCCTCCAAGACGTCCTCCAGGAAGGCCCGTAGGAGCAAAAATCATTGATTTTCCATAGATGTTTGAAGGATTGTGGCATTTTCTCCTTATCAGCTCTCCGACTGCCCAAGACGGCCCAAGAGGCCACTAACATCTTCCCACGAGCGCCCATGATGCCTCCAAGATGCCCCATGACAGCCCAAGAGGCCCCCTAAGACGCCGAAGATGGCCTCCAAGACGGCCAAGGTGGTCACCAAGATGCCTCCAAGACGGCCAAGAAGGCCTCCAAGACGGCGAAGATGGCCCCAAGATGCACCCAAGACAGCCCCAGATGGCCTCAAGATGGCCTTCGACTGCCCAAAAGGCTCGCCAGAGGCCTCCGAGACGGCCCAAGACCCCTCTAAGACGTCCTCCAGGAGGCTCGAAAGCTCGGAAACCACCTGGTCCGATAGCTCGCCCGACTCCGTGTTCCCCGAAGGCTTTCGAAACCCACTCGGGAAACGCGTGGCCCGATAGCTTGGCCAAGCTCAAACCCAACTTTCGGCCACGCAGGCGCTTCCAAAAAGCCAGGGGGCGGCGGTGATTCGCCGTAGGCGTCTTCGATAAGTGGTGCAAGCTATGTGGCGCAAGCTATGTTAAGCAGTCTACGTGGGAAAAACCGATGTGGTATCTACAAGGATTGCACAATCAAACGTGCGACCACAACGCGGCGGGGATGGGCGGCGGCGACGGGCATTCTTCGAGCATGCAAGGATTGCCAACGTTCCCTGCACTCCTGGGGTGCAGCCAACCGAGTGCTGTTTGAACCAGAAAACGGAAATGCACACATCTTGGGCCAGAGAAGCTGCAAACATCTCACGGTCCATCGTGGCAGCTTCTGTATGCCGCGCCCTGCCGCGTCCGTTGAGTGCACTGACGGCTTGCTCGTGTAAAAACGGGCGGCGACGGGCCGGCCGGGGCGCCACCCAGGCCCGGACGGGCAGCAGCGACGGGCGGCGAGAAGCCGGCCAGACCGCCAGCCAGGCCCGAGCGGGCGGCGGGGACGGGCGGCGACGGGCGGCGACAAGCTGGCAAGACCACCAACCATGCCCAAGCGGGCGGCGTCGACGGGCGGCGACAAGCCGGCTGGGCCGCCAGCCAGGCCCAGTTCCTCAGAAGACAAGAAAGAAACCGTAAGTGCAAGCACTCTTGGGGAACAACTTGAAGAAGGCAACAAAACGTTCAACCATAATTTCAGAATGTCCATTTGTTTTGCTGATCGCCTGCCACCCTCCCACGATATTCATATAATTAATGGTTCGAGATGGCGCACAGACATCCCGATACAGCTCTGTTATGTCCCATCAGGAGGGAGGGGGCTGGCGGCAGAGGAGGAAGCCCTTGCGGATAAGAAATCTGGGGGCACATTTGTCGTCGAGTTTTGCGTTTCCTGGGGTGCCCCAGGGCTTCTGTGGGCCCCTAGGGCATCCGGGGACATGAACCTTCCATGGAGCACTTGCTGGCAGGCCCGATCCTTATTTGTCGTGCCCATTGCACCCCCAAGGTGGGGAGTCACGCCGTCCCCGTCGGGCTTCGCGGCATCGGTGTTCCAGGGTCCTGGCTCCCCCCCCGACCACCATGCTAATGGCATGGTCCCGCTCCCACCCCCCTGTGGATGGGTGTAGGGTGGTGCTACGGATCCCCCCCCCCCTCTCCTCCTCTGTGTGTGGGGTGGTGCTGCGTGCTGTCGTCTTCGTCTTCGTCGTCGTTGTCGTCGTCCCCAGTTCCATCTGGATGGGTGGGCCGTGGGGCCCTAGGATCCACCGCATCTGGGGGGGCCGTGGGCCCTGAGCCGGGGAACATCCATCCCCACATGGGGGGTAGGCTGGGGCGCTGAGGAACCCCGACCCACCCTGCCTGGGGATGGGGACATGGCGCACGACGACGCTGAGACACGATGTGGACGAGGACGGAGAGGAGGGAGGCTTCGGGCGGAGGGCCGGGCAAGAGCCGAAACGGACTGCGCAACGTGGGACCCGAACCCCTCAGGCCCTCACGCAAGCCATGCTGCGGAAAGCGCGCACTGATCCCGTAATCAAGTTCTGCGCCTGGGTCGAGCCTCGTCCCCGTCTAAGAGGAGGAACGGAGAGGAAAGAAGGATGAGTAAGAGACGAGGGTGGAACAGAGGGAGAAAGAAGGAGGCATAGCCTCACGATCCACGAGAGTTCTAGTAGCCCTGATCTCCAGCTTGTCCAGCTTCCCCCTTGCCTCCGCCGCCGCCTTGGCCTTCTCCCTCTGCTCCTCCGAATGAACCCAGATCGCGCTCTTGTACTGCGGTTTCCCGCTGGACTCTGCGCGGCAATTTCGGTAGAAGACCTCGAGGAGATCCGCGTAGTCCACTTTGCTGGGGTCGAACTCCACCTTTAAGGCCTCCGTGTGTCCGTCGCCCGAGCACACGCTCTTGTATGTCGGGTCCACCGATTCTCCGCCCGTGTAGCCCACCATCGTCCTGGTCACGCCTGGCACCAGTTTGGGGCGTGGAGCTGTCAAGGCCCAGGACTTGGGGTCCGACCTCTCAGGACCGCGGGAGGCATGGGTCTGGATAGTTTCGGGTCCCAGGGGGCACACGCATTCCCATACCCCATGCCCACCGCCTCCAGAGGTCTTGGGAGATCGGTTCCCAAAGAGGTGGACATGGATGACCCCCCAGCCTCGGTGCCAGGGGTCGACCTTGCACCGAGAACGGCCCACTGGACTGCCAACAACAACGCCCCTGGTACGCTTCCAGAACCGCAACCTGCTTGCCATGGGCCCCCGCCCCCCCGGGACAAAAGCGAGGCGAGAGCAGCAAGGCCCACGAGTGCTCAGACCAGCCCTTTGGCACACCCCTGCCTGGCACGTGGTCGAACGTCTTCTGGGGGCCCCAGAATCAGCCCATCGCAAAGGTGGCGACCTCCCGGCGGCGCGCACGAGGGGCCAGCACGAGAGGGGGGTGGCGGCCCTCTTGAAGAGGCCCCCACCACGGCCTCTCAGCAGGCGCGGGACGGGTGCCTCCTCAAGAGAAACACGTGTTACCCAGCGTGGACCCCAAACAGTGATTTCTTGCAACCTACGCATTCCAGCATAAATGGTGCAATACTAATGTGATGCAATCTGGGTGGTGCAATCCATATGGTGCACCCTATGTGGCGCAAACCGCTGCAAAGCAATGCAACCGAATGCAAGGCCATACAAATCAATGCAAAACACTACAAATCAATGCTTTGCAAGGCAAGCGAATGCGTTGCTCCGCATAGCAACGCAAACCGATGCAAAGCTGTACAAAATCCATGCTAGCCAATGCAAAGCAATGAACAGCCACGGGAAGCCATGCAAAGCCATGCAGAGTTATGCAAAACAGTGCGAAACGATGCGAGGCAATGCAAAGCAACGCAAAGCAATGCGAAGCAATGCGAATCAACGCGACGACAGGCGGAGACGAGCCGGCCAGACCGCCACTGGGGCCCAGCGGCGACGGCGGCGACAGTCGGCAACGGGCGGCGACGGGCGGCGAGCGACGAGCCAGCAGGACTGTCACCAGGGCCAATTTGATTAGAACACAAGTAACAAGCCTTGAACTGTTGGGGTATAAGCATAAACAATTTTGGAGGTCCATGCCGATCTCTTGGACCGGCGCTGGAGACCCCTCCCTGGCGTGGGGAGCGCGCCAAGGGCATGAGTGCCGCAATGCCGACCCAAGAAATCCTCTGGCACCTCCGAAAGCTCTTCTTCGACTTCTGACAGAGCGAGGGGTCCTCTTGGAAAGTCGCCCCACCTCGTCACACCACAAAGATCCAACGGTTTGAACTGCTCGATACGGGGTCCCCGGAAGTCCTACACTTGCCAGCTCTCCATTTCTTCATACAAGCGAATGAGCTCCAGACTGCACCGTCTCAACTGCCATGCGATTCAAAGGGTCGCCAGGAAAACTGGGTGCAACTTACGAGCCGACCTCCGATAGGCAAGCTTATAAGGTGAACCTTGGCCTGAGAAAGAGCGAGCGCGCGAAAGGTAACGAATTTCCCCCCCCCCTCCCTGCGACGGCCGCATGCCACAGGACACAGCCAAACATTTCATCAACAAAAATTAGGATTTAAGAAAACTGGGCCAGTTACCAGGAAGCTTCTTGAAACAAACTTGGGCCTACTTGTGTGTTCACGCTGGAGGGACGAACGTGCTTGAGAAACTGAGCCAGCTTTCCAGCATATTTGTTGAGAAACGCTGGCCCAACTTTGCGGGAGGAGGTGTCATGAGCATATGCTCGGCGGTACGTATAAATGTGCGCCCGCCTGAAAGGGTATTCGGTAAGGCTGCCAAAACTGAAAGCCCTGGCGGGTGAAAACACGCTGTGTGGTACGAACTCTATATTGGATGGCCCAGACTGCCACCCCCAAAAATACATCACTGCGTAAAATGAGTGAGAGAGAGAGGGAGAGAGGGAGAGAGAGAGAGAGAGAGAAGCGGAAGGGAGAAGAGGAGGAACGAGGAGAGACAGAACGGACGGTCCTTAACTGTGGCTTCAAATGTGGACCCGAGAAGCATACAGCAGCTCTGGACTGGGGCCGGGGACTGCGGCCCACACAGGCCGACCTGCAATAGGCAAGCCCATGTGGTGAGCAGCGAAACGGATTGAGCCGACCCGCCAGAAAGCCGCTGCCTGGGCTTCTGCATTGTGGAAGCCTGGTGGGTAGCAGATGGTATGAAACTGCGCCCAACACATCCCAAACAAACTCGAGGCTAGCAGCCATAGGATACGGAAGAGGAGCGGGGAGATGGAAGAGAAAAGGTGAGAATGCGGCTGGCGCGTGCGCAGCTCGCACGGAAGACCCTCACGAGCACCTCGAATGCCTTCGCAACCGAGCAGACAGGCTGCGCCATTCGTGGGACGTGCGAGGCCTTTGCGGTGCCCGCGGGGTGGAGTCGACGCTGGACCAGCCGGCACGTGCCCCAATCCCCGCGACGCTCCTCGTCATCAAAGAATGCATCTAAAGTTGCTAGAAGGAAATGTGGAGACGAGGGTCATAAAGCAGAGAACGATGAGGAAAGGAACACAATCGGATAACCCACCCCAAAGCGGAAGGCAGTTGCTCCTGCACCGACAGGTTGCTCCCGATATGTATAAAGATGTATACACAACAAACAAACATACAAACACACACACACATATTATATATATGTATATATACATGCACATACACATGCACATACACATCCATATGCATACAAATATGCACATGCATATACATATAAAATATACACATGCTTGTACACATGCATGTGCATGTACATACACATGTTCATACACATATACACATACACAGACCCATACATACACATATGCATATCAAAATCCAGATGCACCCACATACGCACATACAAAGCATAAACACAATACCTATGCATTTACATATACACGTACAGCTACAACCATTAGCACACACACACACACACACACACCTAAACATGTACATATACATATACGTATGCATATATTCTTCAAATAGGCGTACCCTGTAGGAGTCCTAGCTCAAACCCTACTAATTGGTCCGTTGCCGCCACTTATTCCTATGTCCCCTAATTCCTACGACTATGCCTACGGCTATGCCTATGGCTATGCCTATGGCTATGCCTATGGCTATGCCTATGCCTCACCCTAGCGCCTATGCCTATGCCTGTTTGTTTGCTTGTTTGTTTGATTACTTGCTTGCGCGCTTGCTTGCTTGCGCGCTTGTTTGCTTGCGCGCTTGCTTGCGCGCTAGCTTGCTTGCTGAGCTGCGGATTCCAAGCATGCTTGATTCCTCGGATTCCTTGATTTGGATCGCCTAATCTATTTGAAGTCAACGCTGGCTGATATTTATTTATAGGTATACAGCTACCCAATCCCCACCCTTTTGGCGTGCGGACGCGCCAATGGTCAGAGTAGGCCTAGGGCCTAGACCCCCGCTTTAACAACCAGACAGGCAGGGGACATATCCACAGGATCCAAATGCCCTCTCCGTCGGCTGGGCTACAGCAAACGGCGAACGCGTGGCGGAGGACCTCCCCCGCGCGCTTGCCGGCGCCTCCTGACGGGAAGGGGCCCTGGCCCGTCGCAGTCCCCAGCCTTCTACTGGGGAAGGAGCCTACGCTCCCTTCTGGGCTACGGCACCGGCAGGTTAGCGAAGCCTGGGCACACAGCGCGCACTGGGTGGTTAGCGGGTGGGGCCCCACATATGCTTCGGACGCGCTGGGGGCGGCGTGTCCTGGGAAGGGGGGGGGAAGTATGCCCATACAGGCAAGCCTGTGCACTGACATACCTAGCCCCGCCTTTTTTGCGCGCGGACACGCCGATGGTCGCAGTGGGCCTAGACCCCCCTTTAACAACCCAGGCAGGCAGGGGACATATCTACGGGATCCAAGGGCCCCCCCGTCTTCAGGGCTACAGCAAGCGGCGAGCGCGTGGCGGAGGACCTCCCCCGCGCGCTTGCCGCCGCCTCCTGGCGGGAGGGGGGCCCGGCCCGCCACCGCCCCCAGCCTTCTATTGGGGAAAGGGGCCCACGCCGCCAAGTTCCCCCCCCAGTGGCTGAAAGCCGTCCGTGTGCATCAAAAACTCGTTAAACTCCCCACCCCGCCCAGACGCTAGCACCTTGCGCCGACGTACTTAAAATGGCGCCAGGGAAGAAGGGGAAAGCGGCGATGGCAGCGCCCCGCCAAAGGCGGCAGGGGGAGCAAAGGCTCCCCGCGGCGAAACCAGAGCTTTTCGCGGGGACCACCGTTCTCCCCCGACTCCTCCGCACAGGCGGCAGAGGCCATCCGCGTCACCATTCCAACCGCGCCGTCGGGACGCAAGGCATCGGGTAGGCAGAGGCCAAGGGGCGGCAACTCAAGGGAGACCTCGTTTCGCCCGGCCGAGGCGGAGGGGCACGCTCCATGAGCGGCCGCGGCGAAGCGGGGCCCCCTTGGGCGCCCCCCCCCCCGAACTCCGCGAAACCGATTCCCAGGCCCAGAGCCACTCGGGCCGAGGAGGCGGGGGGAGGCGACGGGGGGGGCAAAGGACATGGAGGCCTCACATCAGCACTCCAAACATCGCGCCCTCAAGGCGCAAGGCATCGGCTAAGCAAAGGGCGAGGGGCACTTATCCAGGGCGGTCTCGTCTCGCCACCGCTGAGGCGGCGCAGCCTACCACCGGGGCAGGCCGCAGCGAAGAGAGGCTGCCTCGGATAAGCACCTCTCGTCCCTCGCGAAGCCGAAGCCCCAGCGCTTGAGCCGCTCCGGCGGCGGAGGCGGAAGGGGGCGATGGAACGAGGCAAGCTTTTGCTCTGAAGCGAAACGCAAGAGAAGGATGCCCCGCGCGACCGCGCGGGCGCCGGCAGTCGAGGGCTTCGCACGCGCGAGGTCAGCAACGGCGCCCTCGACGTGGATGCGCGTCGTGGCCGAGCTGCTCCGCCTGCCCGCCGCGAGGGTCGCCCCCATCGAACCAGACCTCGCGAAAAAATCTGAGGCGCCCCCACGGCGGCAGCTGCGCCGCGAGAGGGGGCCTGGCAGGCCGAGGCCACGCGCCAACATGGCCGGCGCGCCCCGACGAGATCTGCACGTCGCGGCCGAAACCGCGCACTGCGATCCGCGCGAGCGCCAGCGCCAGCCTAGGGCGGATGGCCACCGCCACCGCGCAGTCCTTGCCGGCAACGGTCTTGGACGAGGCGACCCGCGCCACGATGACAGCGCCGCGGTCGACGACGTCGCCCGCCGCGAAGGTAAAGGCCTCCGAGCCGCGCAGCACGCCCTCGAACGAGATCAGGAGGAGCGCCGCGACGTCGAAGGCACCTGCTGCACGCGCGAACCCTGCCATGGCCGCAGTCGCCTCGGCTGTGAGCGGCGGCGCCCGCGAAGCAGGCTCGAGCTCGTGGTCTCCACGTCTGGGGCAGCGCCCAACTGAGGTCCAGTCGCCGCCGCCAGCCTGGGCGCCGTGACGCGCGCCCCCGCCGACGTGTCGCTGGCGGCCGCGACGCCAGCACCAGCGGCCCAGAGGTTTTCAAGGTAGTTCGCGACGAGGGCGTCAACGCCCTCGCCGTCGTCGCCAAGGGCCCGCAGGCTCTGCCGAGCGACGCCGCAATGGGCCAGCAAGGTCTGCACGGCCCGCTCGCGCCGACGCCGCGTCCCCGCCGCAGCGCGCAAGGGCGCCAAGGTCTGGCGGCGGGCGCCGCGGCGCCTCGGGCGATGGGGGCCCGCGGCGGGCGGCGGCCCGCGCAGTCGGCCGCGCCCGCGCCCTTCGGCCCTCGAGCCACGCCACGTCAGCCTCCTCGACGGCTCGCCCCCTGGGTTGTCCTCCGAAACCACGTCGCCGATCAGCGGGCGCATGTCGGCCGCCGCGGCGACGGCCATCCAGCGCGTGGGGACTGGCTAAAGTTTCCTGCTGGCGCTGCGGCCCTTCGTGAGACCACGCGGGCGCGCCGCCTCAAGGCCGCCGTCGCCGCCTGCAGATCTCTGATGCTTGCGCGCGCTACCTTGCCGCCGCGGCCACGCCGTGCTGAGGATGGCGCGCCACTTCCGTGCGAAGGGGTCGAGACTCGACCTCGGCCAGCCGCGAGCAGGGCAGGGGGCGCCGCAATCCAGCCCGACATCCGCGCCCCCCTTCTCCGCGCGGCTCAGGCAGCGCAGGACCAGCCGCCTCGACTGCCCCACGTCGGCGGGTTCGCGCCTTTCGCGGCTAGGGCAGCGCGCCCCACGTCGAAGCCTAGCAGACGCCCCCTCTCCTCGCTGCTGGGAAGACGGGGGGAGGAGCAGTTCGGGTCTCGGACCCTGTTTCCTCCTCGCACAGGGCAGCGCGGTAGCGATGCGAGTCGGCCTGCCATCTAGCACGGACCGCGGCCGACGCTGCCGCGAGGCCGCGGGGTGCCGAGGGGTAGCGGCCCTGGGGCCTGCAGCAGGGTCGCGTCGGGATGTCCCCAGGCCGCCCAGGCCGCTCGCAACCCTAGCCCTCCCAAGAGATGCCCGTGAGAGGGGCGCCCTCGCCGACGAGCTCGTCGCAGGCCCCGCGGTCGGCCCGGCGGAGCGGCGCCGAGCGCCGCAGGGGCCAGCTCGCCTGGAAGAGACGCGGCCGCCTGCAGGGCACGAGCGCAGACACAGACAAGCATGCCAGACACGGCCGCGCTCCCAGCGCCGTCGAGATGAGCCTGACATTCTCGTCCGATATGCCGGCCACGTCCTTGATGAACCAGGACAGCATCGATCCGAAGGTCTCGCGGAGGAGGCCCAGGGCGCGCGGAACCTCGCGGAGCAACGGCGACTCCTTCCCGCCAGGGCCGCGGCCGCCGACGTTCAGGCGCGAGAGATCCTGGCAGGGGCTGCCAACGGCCGCGATGCAGAGGCCCACGTGCTCTCTGAAAGCGACGAACAGCTCTTGCACCATCGGGGCATCCACGCGCGCGACGTCGCCCCTGTCGATGAACCCGTGGCCAGCGCAGCCTGACCAGCCGCCGCGCCTTGGGATCCGTCTCCGCCGCCACGGAGGACACGATCCGCACGGGGATGCGCGAGAAGGCGACGGCGAGGCCCTCGATGCCATCGAGGAGGCCGATGAGCAGCACCGAGAAGACCCTGGCCACCGCCAGCGACGGAACCCGCGGGCTCGCCGTCTTCCAAGGCTGGGCAGGGCCCTCGACCACGTGGAGGAGCCTGGCGCCGATCCCCAGCTGGTCGGGCACCCCCGCGCGGGCCTGCAGCGCGCTGGCCAC